CACAAGAAAGACAGAGAGAAACAGAAAGTGAGAAATCACCCCCTGGGGGGATGACCACACCACAATCCCTTCTCCTCCATTCTCCTCTTGGCGTCTTCAGCACACACACACACACACACACACACACACACACACAGCTTGAGTTTAAGCCACTGGGTCCGGACTCAAACTGTAGTCAACTACATGGGAGTCCAGTGACATAGTCATTATGCCAACTGCTGGTCCCCTGTGAAAGGATTTTCTAATCTCTTGCATTTCACTGAGTTTCATTACAATGAGTCTTGTGAATGTTTTCTCTGACATTTCTGTGATCTCTTGCCTTTTATCCATTGTTGATGAAGAGTTATTATGTTCCTTTGTGAGAGAAATATTTCCTGGCTTTCTCTTATTTCTTGGGGCTCTGCTTTGATTTTTTTGGAGAGGTTTTTTGTTTGTTTGTTTGTTTGTTTGCTACAGGGTACGTGCACTTGCCAGACAGACAGAGAGAGACAGAGAGTGAGACATCACCCGCCCCAGGATGATGGCCACACTGCAATCCCTTCTCCTCCATTCTCCTCTCAGGATCTTGGGCATGCACGCACATGTGCCCAGCGTGAGTTTTAAGCCACCGGGTCCAGAACGCGAACCTGTCGACTACATGGGAGCCCAGTGACAGCCATTATACCAACTGCTGGTCCTATTTTTTTTTTTTTTTAATAAGAATTTAACAATTATTATTTTTTGTTATCATTATTAATCAATTACCATGTATTTTTAAAACCAATTTTGAGTTTTCTTTTTTCATAACTCTAAACTTTGTTTCTTTTTTAAAAAGTAATTGTTCTTTTAATTAAATTAATTAATTGCTTTTGTTTGTTTTTGTTTTGTTTTGTTTTGTTTAATTTGACCAGAGAGGGAGAGAAAGTGAGAAAGCAAGCCACTGGGTCTAGAAATTGAACCGTAGTTGACCATGAGTAAATCAAAACATGCCACCTGCTGATCTCTTAAATTTCTTTTTTAAATGCTAACATTACAAGATGCTTCTCTAAATTGGTAGTATAGTAAAGAGTTGCATTACAAATACCCATATGGTATTTATATATACCCATTTATAAATACCCATACACCAACAATCTATTTTCAAATAATTCTCCATTGGTTTCAAAGTTACTTCAAATCTCTCTTTCCAGTTACTTATAATATGTGATTTTGCAAAGTACACAATTTTCCATAAGCAATACAGAGATGAGGAAGGCTCATCACTGATGTGAAACAAACATCTTGGCTGCTCCTGGAAAATTCTTGGTTATGCCTATTATCACAGGGTCATCATCATCATCATCATTATTAGTAAGTTTATTTCCATGAAGCAAGAAAGAAAGACCACCTTACAGAGTCTTTAATTCTCCTCCCAGTTCTAGCAAGCCAGGATCGATGGTGTTGCAGGTATGCCAATGTAGGCCCAATGATACAAACTTGGAACTTTATCATCTGTCCTCAAGCATCACATAGCAGCTCTCCCACTGCCT